GCACACAGAAAGTCAGTATTCATCTCCTTCCAGCAAAAATCTAAAAACAAAGATGGAAAAATAATAACCAAAAACCAATTCGACTTCACAATTATCTGTCCAATATTTTGATCGGTTGCAAATTGCCCTCCAACATTAAGGTTTCCAAATTGAAGGGTTCACGCAAGGGCTGAAAATAATTTTCAGGCTGCTAAAATTTACTAGATAAATGTTCAAATTAAAATCACTTCGGTTTGGATGCTTTTCATCCTTCGAAAAGTTAAAAGTATTTTGTGATTAGATTCGAAGCCAGTATTTGATGATCTTGTCATTGAATCAACACGAAAGGGAAGAGTAGGCAAGATTGGAGTTGTAGTTTGATGAAACAAGTGATCTTAGAGGGAGATTTTCTTTTCTTTTCCTACTTTTAGAACGGTGCCCTCATAAGGGAGATGCATGATGTTAAATATGTCTTGAATTTTATGTACTCAGTCCGGTTCATCACCCGACCCGACATATTTTTTGTGTGACCCAAAAGTGGAGAAAAAATTGAGATTTAGTTCGTGATGCGAAGGGTTGGGCCGATAGGCCCAACCCGGAGCAAGCGAACAAATCTCTATGGCGGTCCTCCCAAGCTGGAGCAAGCGAACAAATGTCTCGGGGGGTTAACCCTCGAGGAAATTTTTTGGGGAGCCCTATTTATACTGCGGCTAGGTTTTTCCATTGATTAAGAGAGATTTTCATTTTGGGAGAGTTTTGTGAGCCGTGAGGTTTTGTTAAGTCGTTTTTCGACTTCTGAAAACTGTACTCTCTTTGATTATAGTGGAATCTTGTTTTGCCTCGCCCGTGGACGTAGATCACCTTGTGATCGAACCACGTAAATCCTTGTATTATGTATTTATTTTTCCGTGTTTGTTTCTAACACATGATCATATTCCAATTATTCTTAGGCTAAGAACAAATCTCACTAGAAATAAAATAGTGGCCCATTTAGAGGTCAGTACTCTGTAGTCATATGCAGTTCAAGTCACCAAAACACATGTACATTTTTGGACGAAGAAAACCAATGTTATGCAGTAAGAGATTAAAAATTTGCAGAAACATAGAAAGTTCGGAGGGATGACTGCAAGTACTCAAATGCGCATTAAGGGCCATATATATGTAGGAACAATATTATGTACAGGGCCTACTAATTGAGGGCATTACTAGCTGAATATATAGAAATGGGCAGGAGCTTCTCTCGGACAATCCGATCATGAATGGCTAGGCATGAAATAATTCGAAACGACAAGATAAAAGAAATGTCTATGGCAGCTTTCTTACACGTGTGTTTCCGCCAAAGTTGCTTGCAACATTCTTGAGATGCTCTTTCGCGGCGCTTCTTGCAAGCCCACGACCAGCAGGTCGAACTTCCGCTTGCTTCCGACCAGCTCTGCAAGATCTTCATGAGATACCTATAAACACATAAACAAGTCCTTCAGCGACTTTTAAAATTGACTATGCCCTATTTTTCCGAACGCCATTGGCGAAAAAAAAGCAATTCTCTGAAAGCAACGGGCAGTAACTCCTTCGAGAAGAGATTTAATTATAGATGAGTGGGATATCTCAAGAGCATCATAAAAATAGTACGTAACACACCTGGCCATTCATGTTCCAAGTAACCAAGCAAATGCAGACGTCGGGGTCGCTCGAGAATTCGCACGAATTGCACGACCGAACCGTCCTGATTCCTTCTTGCTGAGCCGCGACGACGTGGCCGACCATGTCGTCCGTGGGGTTCGATCCCTCCGTCTTGGACCTTCTTCCGCAGCAATAACCCATTTCAAGAATCTTCACCATGATACATGCGCTTGATTCTGCAGAAGCCGGAACTTGAGTTTTCTTGGGGCACCAATATCGGTAGAAGAAGTATCAAATGCAGACAATGTGATCACGGAACAAGCTTTCAAATTGAGAGTGATTGGGGATGGATCTAGAGAGAACTAGCTCGATCGGGGAACAATTGAATCTCTCTACGTCCTTTATCTCTCTCTATTTATACTTGTCATACATGGAAGTTGACAAATTGGATAAGGTGAAGAAAAGTCAAAGGCTTTGAAGCTGTCATTGTATGTCTCTCTTTCATTTGATCACTACTTTCTAAGTGGTAGGTCGGGCCTCGTTGACAATGTGAAGGAGTTCAATGAATTAGGACAATGGCCTTACTGCAGGTTTGTAGGAAGCGCGGGTTTGATTTCCCATTGTCTCTTCTATTGCGTAAATGGCTAAAGTACAGCTCAAGGAAGCAAATATGTCTATGAATTTGCATGGTACGTAATAGGGCTTCTCATGATTTGGAAGAGTAATACCGTAGAAATAAGCAAGCAAACCAATGGAGACTAACCAGATTGACTAAATTACCCTATACTGTATTGCAATCGAGAAGGCGAATTATTCCGTCATAGAGCACAATTGATATATCCATGATTGAACCGTAGCTGTCTAGTGCCGTAGTTAAGATGTGAAGTGTTGCAAATAATATGTTTGATAATGCATATTTAAAAGCTACAGTACCTTTAAAATGGGTCAGACAGCTTCCTAAAGCTATTTTAAGCAACTGCAGTTTCAGAGGTGTTACGATTATGAGATGTTTGCCCAATGCCTTATCGCAATTGAAGTTGCTACAGAAGGACCGTATCAAGCGGTCTTTCAATCATATAATGTTTTAGTGTCTCACCTTATCTAGCATTACGCCGTGACTCTAAGAGTCACTCGATCTATTCGAGGTAACGGTGTCACCGTCGCGGGAAAAAAATCTAAGTAAGAGGCTCACTTAATCTACCTGAGTAGGAAATGCTTTCGAACTCAACTAGTAGAACTAACTGAAGTCATTTCTCAATGCATAAGATGAGCGAGTAGGAACAATTATAGTGCAAATCAAACTAACCTATCTAGTACAATATATATCAACAAAACAAAACAAAAAAATTAACTAATGGCACAATAGTCTTTATATAGAAGTGTTACATTAATTCGATTCTTCATATTAGCAAGGACCAATAATTTCAATGATTGGATCGCCAATTATACGTTAAATCACGTGTTTCACGAACATTTGAGACTTTACCTAATTTAGATGAGCTTCTTTGCCGTTGAGACGGAGGCATCGACGGTTCGACTCGAACTCGATAACATGTCAACGGAGATCGGAGCACCCGCGAATCCAAGCCCTCTATCAACGAAGACAAGTCAAACCGGTTTGGTTCGCGGTACCGTGGGCCGTTGCAAGTTACACGTGTCGCCAACTCATGCGCCTGACGGTGGGAGGTAATCCAAAGCCAAGACCTACCCCCCCTCCTCCGTTGACCGAGAAATCATTGGTTGCCGCTCTCTGATCGCCAGGTGTGATGTCATCTCAACCAATCCGAACTCGCCACGTGTCCTTCCCGGGGGGGGGGGGGGGGGGTGGGCGGTGTAGGACAAGTGACAACGAGTGTAAAGTGAAAATTTTAGATAAAGAAAAAAAGAAGAGAGAATAATCATTTGAAGCATTTTCTTCTCTCCTCCCCCTTGCCCAAGCTCCTCCTCCACCGGCATCGCCTCCGGCAACCACGACGGCACCCACCGGACATGGCCGCGCTTCACTAGTTCGCAGCACGAGCTTGGCTGTGAGCTAGCCTAGCTTGATTTCCGAGCTTTTCAGTGTTAGTGGAGATGGTAGCTTCTGTCGTCATCGAAGTTGGCGTTGCCCCTCTAGGAAGGCAATGAAGAAAGGCTGTGGCATGGATCTTGAGATGCCGATATTATCTTCTTTTAATCTCACATTTCTTAGTAACTTAAAGAAGCCCCTCCAAATTACATCTGTTCATGGTGCAAGTCTTCACATATTGCACCGTTTATTGTGACATCATCTCTGCCACCTACCTTGCTCTCAACCCGGTTTTTTATGCTCTCACCGAACACATCGAGTTGGATTTTTGCTTTGTTCGAGAGTGGGTTGGTTCCGACGATTTTCATGTATGCTATTGTGCTTGCAGCGGATCGATTGGTGAACATTTTCATTATAGGGTTACCTAGTTTTCAGACACGCATTATTGTGATCCAATCTCTCACTTGTTAAACCTACTTAGGATTGAGCGGGTATTAAAATGTAATTGATCTCTATATATATAGGGGTTCTTTCTATTACTGCGTTTTTTTAATCTTTATCCTAATTGTAATGAATTACTTTTATAAATATATATAATTATCTTTAATTAGGGTCAAATCACCACAAACACTACGTCGTTTTTTCTCTCTCTATGGCTATAAATAACAGGTCCCCATTGAAGAAAATGCCTTCCGTGTAAAAAGAAAGAAAAATGAATGTTAGTTAATCTTTGTTCCTTGTTCCGGTCTATGCCTTTTTTACTATTCTGACTTCCTTTTTTTGCCCCTCTAATTCTAATGAATGTAATGTCACCTTGCAAGGGTACTCAAAAAAATATATACATTCTATAAGCTCCATATTGTAATACGATGCAACATGAATTTGGTCATACATTTAGGCTGTCCTGTTATCCCGTCCAACCTCATCAAATTTATCTTGTAACATGGTTATTAATTGGTCACTTAACCATGTCGAGGCGCTGGTTGAGAAGTTCTTTTCTACGACCAATCATCATTTTTGCAAGGGAAAATGAGACGAATAGTCCTTGAACTTTGGCCCAATGTGCAATGTGGTCCCCGAACTTTTTATTTATTCATTATAGTCCATGAACTTTAGCCTAATGTTCAATGTGATCCTTGAACTTTTAATTTGTTTAGTGTAGTCCTTGAACTTTAGCTTAATGTTCAATGTGGTCCATTAACTTTTAATTTGTTTAATGTCTTCGTATAGTTCATGGACTATATTGAACATGTATCAAAAGTTCATGAATGATATTGAACAAATTAAAAGTTGAGGGACCGTATTGAATATTAGACTAAAATTCATGGACTATACTGAATAAATTAAAAGTTCAAGGATCATATTACATATTGAATCAAAGTTCAGGACCGTTTGCGTCATTTTTCATTTGTGCAAAACAAACAAGGTTTATGAACGTTCTCCGACCAAACCTCGCCTGAAAATCACCAGTTCCGGAGCGTCCGAAGTTCGTGGGCCAGTCACTTTCAGAGTTCCACTCATCGCCAAATCCTCTCTTTCTTGTACCCCTTTTCTCCTTCTCGGCTTCAGGTGCGAGACTGCAGAATTTCGGGGATTGGAACGGTAATTTCACCCCCTCTCTTCTTTGTCAAGGGCCTTTCGCAGTTGCTTGCTGGAGGGTGTGCGGGTCGCTTTCGGATGGCGTCTTCGACTTGAATCGGACTCAGCGGCCAAAATGAGTAAAGCTTGAATCGGACCTTGTCGAAATCCTCGACACCCCATTTCTTTTGCGCACCTCCCCAGGTAATTTGTGCCCATTTCTATGAGTCTGTCGATGGTCGCAAATTTTGGTTCAATTCCCTGTTTTGCTTGTCGAAATTTGTTCGTACCCTTAAAGAAGGACCACCTGAAATTCTTCTAGGGTTGCAGTGGCAGTTCATTATCCCGGTGAACACATTCTATCCGCTGATGGGTTTGTGATTGGTTGTTTTTTTTTTGTATGTACTTGACCCAAAATTTTCTTGGCATGTATGAGTTGTTATGTCCGAGGTTGAATTCACGGGTTTGTCAAACGGAAAAAAGAAAGTGTAATGACTGAGTTTTAGGTATACGGGTGAAATGAGGGTGCCCAATTTGTCCACAGTCGCCTTTTGCTGATGATTTTGAGCTTATGATGCTTCTGTTCATTTCAAATGTAAGCAGATGTTTTAGCCGGTGAAGTTGAATTCACGTGTTTGTCAAACGGAAAAAAGAAAGTGTAATGACTGAGTTTTAGGTCTACGGGTGAATTGAGGGTGCCCAATTTGTGCACTGTCGCCTTTTGCTGATGTTTTGAGCTTATGATGCTTCTGTTCATTTCAAATGTGAGCAGATGTTTTAGCCGGTGAAGTTGATTCATGAGAAAGATTCTTGCTTTATGTTTTTCACTTGTTTTTTTTTTTTTCCAATTTCAGGAAGGGCAAGGTTTTTGGAAATAGCTGGAAGAAAGCAAGATGGTAAGCTGGATTTTTTTTTCTGTAGCTGTCATTGTTCTTTTTCTTTTCCCTTTTTCATTCTGAAGTGATATAGATGTCATTTGTTTTTCCTTTTCATGGACCAAGTTGTGAATTGGTTTACGAATCATGTGAAATTCAACAGTTATATCTTTGCGAACTGGAATGCTCCATCAGATACTAGACTTGTTGATTGTTTGATGTAATTAAAGGCAGTCTGTTTGAGGTGCTCTAGTACACTCTTGACACTAGGAAAGTAAAATGGGTTAAATTCAAACGAATTGCATTCTTCTGCATGAAAAAGATTACTTCGGGGAAGAGGGAAAAGCAGATTCACTCCAGTGGTGCTTCTGAGTTCTGATCACGGCAATTAGTAGGAGGTATCTAGGGATGCCTCGAGGAGTGTTCTTGCAAAGTACAAGCCACAAGTGGTCATGCTTTTCATGCTGGCATGCGTGCGAGCAGCAGCTCAATGGCATGCGTACATGCACCATATATTCTTAAGAATGATATTCATTAGAAAGATTCTGATGTTGTAGAGGGATTATGTTCTATATGGTGAAAGCCGGAAAAAGGGGGCATTACTTTCTGACGAAGTTGGATATGTTATATTTTGGAGATGCTTTGCTTGTGTTCATACACTAACCTCTGTTTTCTTATATCGAGTAGTTTCATTGGTTCTCCTGTTGATCTTACATGTTCTATGATAGACTTAATAGACGACGTACTTCTAGAAGTAGTAGTGGAGATGTCTGCAATTTTTTATCTTGATCCATCATGCTACGTGTTCCCCCGTACTCTGACTTCCCGTGTGAGATGCACTTTGAGAAAATCTTACCTTTTCTTTCTTTTGATTTAAATTCTTAGTCAAATGATGGACGAATCTTGCAGCAGAGAAGAGAACCACCCAAAAGTCCTTGCCAGACGGAGATCGAACTGGATAGGTTCAGTAGCTTGCCAGGACATATTATAGATCAAATCTTGTCTCAGTTGTCAATAAGGGATGCCGTAAGAACAAGTGTTCTGTCAACAAAATGGCGGTTCAAGTGGGCCACACTTCCAAATCTTGTATTTGACAACCATTGTATTTCACTTACTTCCCAAGACCAGGCAGTCATCAAGAGTAAGCTCGTGAGCATTATTGACCATGTTCTCTTACTTCATACTGGTCCTGTGTACAAATTTAGGCTTTCTCATCGAGAGCTTGTTGGTGTCACTGATATCGACCGGTGGATTCTCCATCTGTCAAGGAGCCTTATCAGAGAATTTGTTCTTGAAATATGGAAGGGCCAAAGATACAAGCTGCATTCTTGTTTGTTTTCATGCCAGAACTTGACACACTTGGAGCTGTTCAATTGTTTGGTCAGACCTCCATCAACGTTCCATGGCTTTAATAATTTAAAGAGCCTTGACCTGCAACACATTACAATGGGGCAAGATGTGTTTGAACATCTCATAACAAGCTGTCCTCTTCTCGAAAGACTGACGTTGATGAACTTTGATGGTTTCTCACATCTTAACATTGATGCACCAGGCCTTTTGTTCTTTGACATTGGAGGTGTTTTTGATGATGTAAGTTTTAAAAATACGTTCCAGTTAGCTCTAGTTTCCATTGGCTTGTATGCCAAAGATAAGATCAGCAAACGGCCTGGTTGTAGCAGCAATTTGCTCAAGTTCTTTGCTCATTTGCCCCATATTCGAAGACTTGAGATACAGAGTTACTTTTTGAAGGTAATGGTTTTTCACGCCACTTAACAGGAGCTTATGTGTGTCTACAAAATGGATAATTATTGATGTAACGGATCTATATGACTTTGAAATATCTTTTTTTTCCTTTTCCATAATATCTTTAGCCTTTTTTTTCCCAGTGAGAAATTGAACTGTGAAATCATGAAGGGTTGTTCCTTACTTTCATAGTATACAGTATAGTGTGTACTAATTCCTCAATTTAAAAACCATTCTCTTGACTATTATACTTTTCCTTATCTTGATTCTATGTCCCATCTCATTGGCTTCCACACTACTCTATGCACATGTTCGCTGGTGATTAGTGGCTTTATTGTATTTATTCTTTTTATCCAGTATTTGGCTGTTGGGGATGTGCCATCAAAGTTGCCTAGCCCATGTGTTGATCTCGGTTACCTTTCCTTGCGCATAAACTTTGATGACTGGGAAGAGAATAAAGCTGCTTTATGCCTATTAAGAAGCTCCCCAAATTTACAAGAACTTGAGATATTGGTTAGTCTTCTGGACCCCTCCAACTCAGCTTAGTATTTCAAACGAATTAGCATTCTTGGTGCTGGCCTTTTACCTGTACATTCTGCTGATTTAAACATGCACTGTCCCCGGTAAATTAGCAACGCTTGACTTGTATTCTGGAATTGATGACTTCTGGGATATTTGATGTCATCAAAACTTGGTGTAGGCTCGGCCCGAAGAAGTTCCTACAGAGAGTTTTGTTAGCTTTTGGGAAGGCGAGCATTGGAGTTGCATGTTTGACCAACTGCGGCTGGTGAAAGTTTCTGGAATATCTGGAACAAGGCTTGAGCTGGGTTTCATAAGCTTCCTGCTTTTGGCTTCTCCTGCACTTGAGAGGATGACCTTGAAGCCTGCTTCAGCCAATGGACAATTGCTGATGTTGAAAGAGTTGCTGCGGTTTCGGCGAGCATCCGTCCGCGCAGAAATTGTCTATTTGGATCCATGACATCTTGGGATTCCGCAGCTGCATCCTCTGGCAAGTACTTTGGTTAGCAAAGTGACTCACCGTGTCAACACATGGATTCTCATGGTTTTTTGAGCATTTTTGTTTGGAGAGTTCACTTGATTCAATGTGTGCTTGAGCACTAAACTGCATGTATTGAGATCAGTGGAATTGGCCATGATATTGTGGACTATGCTTTATATATCCGTTTCGGGAATACTTACACATTGCGATATGGGTGTTTGACTACCAAAGTAGTTAGCTGGTTGAGAATCGTGGAGTATTCACAAGTTCTATTTTAGGGGATGTTCATTATCTTATCGCATGTAGTCATCTCCTAGAGGACATCATCGTGCTGTAAGTTAAGGTCTTGGTAGTAGTATAAGATGTACCATCTTGATTGTTAATAATGTAGAGAATTTTTATTTATGTGTACTCTCTACCTGTAGATGAGTATTGTTATGATGCACCAGAACTTTTTAAGTTCTGCTCGATTGTCTCTTTCGTGAGGTTAAATTGTACTGCGAAGGTCCTAGCTACTACTTTATCATATGAGATGGAAGCTTGAACTTTTGGTATTGGTGTTTAAAAATTGCTTTAAAGAGTCAAATTTGGAACAAAAGTATGTTTTCTTGATTATTAAATGTATTATTATATAGCTTATCCCTGGTTTTGCAAACCTTTTCAGATTCATTGCAAAAGATATTTAAGTCAAGAGAGTATTTTGCAGAGAGTCCCTAGTTGCTTTCCTCGTTAATCAAGCTTGATCTGTTAATTACTTAATTTTCTATAAAGGTCTCAAATAAAAGAATATATCTCCCATTTAGTAATCGGCCATTTTCTTTTAATATTGGGTTAATACCGCGAAAAACTCCAAACTGGTACATTTGTGACAAATTTACTCAGAACTAATTTTTTGACCACTAAAAATTTTAAGTTGATACACCCGTGACAAATTTACCAAAAACTAATTTTTTGACCATAAAAAATCTCAAACTAGTAGACATGTGATAAATTTATCCCAAACTAATTTTTCGAACATAAAAATCTCAAATTGGTAATTTTGTGATAAATTTACCCTTAGTTAGCGGACCAATTTGGGATTTTTTTTGTGGTATTTACCCTATATATTTCCATATGGACTTGCCATGTCACCATACCATATCACCATGTGTCATCCACGTCAGTAAATTTAACTGGAAAATTCGACGGAAGTTAACGGAGGGTAAATTTGTCATAGGTGTATCAGTTTGGGGTTTTGCATGGTCAAAAAATTAGTTTAAGGTGTACCAGTTTGAGATTTTTCGTGGTCAAAAAATTTATTTTGGGTAAATTTATCACAAGTGTACCAGTTTTGAGTTTTCGTGGTATTAACCATTTAATATTACCCATTAAATTCATGAAAGATTTTCCTTATCATGGTACGGTATGAGGGGTTTGTTATCAAGTTAAAGAATAGATGCAATCGACATGTTTATCTTATGACACATTTGACATCACTGGTTATCAAAGTTTCATTGGCAATGCAATTCATTGCATTCTTTGATGATTGTCTTATTCAGGTTTTTGAATGAGTGGAGGAATTATCTGCTTGATGGAATGTCTTACAATATTTGTTGAATATTGAAAGAGTTTTATTTATTTATTTCAGTACTCACTTCATTAGTCTGTAAATTCAAGTTATTTATTATTTTTCCATGCGCCAAATATATATGCTGACTTATACGTTTTTCCAAGTACAGGCTAGCAATTTTAACTATTTTTTGACGTTTCATAATTAATTCCATCTCGAAGGCACTAAAAGACAATTGAAATAAGGTTTGGCTTATTTTCTTTTAGGCTCCTTTAGTTTCATGAAAAATGAATAATTTGAATTTTTTTGTTTAGAAATGATTATTTGTATTACTTAAAGTAAGGATAAGTACACTAGAAGTCCTGAAACTTGTCGCGAAAGTGCTGAAACCTAAAAATTTCAAAAAATCAAATCAAATCCTTCCGCTAACACCATCAATTTGGCTAATAGATAATGCTATCGTGGCATATTTTCTCTCTCCCACATGGCCTTTTTTTTTTCTTCTCGAAATCTTATTTAAATTAGATTAAAAAACTAAAAAAAGCTAAAATTTTATTTTAAAAAAATGAAATTGGGAAAAAAAAAAAAAGAATGGCAAGGGGCCTCACCGGTGGGGTGTTGTTGCTACCCACTGACAGTGGGGTTGGCAGAGGTCGCTGGCCTAGGCAAGGGCGATTGGCTCGCCAGCCTTGGGGAGGGTCCCCAGACTGGTGAGGCCTTGTGTGGGGCTGGCAAGGGTCGCCGATCCCAGTCGAGGGTGCCTAGATTTGGGTGAGGCAAACTTGGGCTAGCCTTGCTGGCCCTTGCTCGAGGTTGGCAAGCTGGCCATCCTTGCCTAGGATCGACGACCTTCGTTGGCCCCTTTGGTGATGAGCGGCGACGGCACCCCACCAACGAGGCCCTTGCCATTCTTTTTTTATTTTTTTCCTAGTTCTATTTTTGTGGAAAATAAAATTTTATCCTTTTTTTAGTTTTTAATCTAATTTAAATAATATTTTGAGAATAAAATAATAAAAAATGCCATGTTGGTTAGCTAGATTGATGGTGTCAATGGAAGGACTTGATGCACTTATTTGAAAAGTTTTAAGACTTGATTATACTTTTTGAAAATTTTAGGACTTAATTGTACTTTCGCGACAAGTTTTAGGGCTTCTCATGCACTTATCCTCTTAAAATAATTAGTCAATAAAGAATGTTTTCATTAACAAAACAATTTATGTTTAAATATATACGTGGATGATGAAAAAAAAGTTCATTATTTTTGTAATAAATACAAGAGTTCATCTTCAGAATTTTTTTTTCAAATTATTAATTTTCCATGAAACAAATAAAGTTTTAAAGAATAATAAGAATCTTTTGGTTCATACAATTGTCGTGACCTACCTTTCGAGGACCAAACTCGATGAAGCGGGTTCAGAGGTAAGTATTCATGAAACAGTCCGAATGGCACATCATAAAAGACGGTTTACTGATGTATCGATCTTTTGTTCATCGATAAGGTCCATTGATCATGAATGTGGAGTTTCTCTAAATTCATACCTCGCATGACAGCGGTTGCTTTTATCTTTTTTAGCAAATAGGAGTCGCCACTAACCTATGTTGGGGGTCGATTACGATACCTAACCAAAATGCATGAATTTCGCTTCGGTTTCTACGAAAACCAGAGATCATGAGTTCAGGGACTAGCTTACGTTAATATTTCCACTAAAGCCCTTTTGGTACTGCTAAACTTAACATAATTGTTATTTACGTTGTCATGCATTTTGTTTTTTACCATTTTCATGCCAAAATCTTAGTCCACTAGGTGATTATGCATTTTGTTTTTCTGTTTTCCATTTAGAATTCTAAACTAACCCTATCTTAGTCTAGAAAAGAGATTTTAACAAAATTTGCATTGAAAAGGCGATGCGTAAAATAAACACACAAGGTATTGAAATAACGAGCTATTCTAAGTGCGAGAAAAGAAAAAGCCCGCAACTCGTCAGGTGTTTAATACAACATGAATAGAAAGACCCGAGACATAGTCGGATAACATGAATTGTGTACAAGTCGAGACCGGATTGGACATCGGTCTTTAGTCACCATCTTCGAAGTTGTTTGGTCATCTTCTCCATGGACCGCATCATGGGTATTGGTTTTACATTCGTACCATACATTCAAGTGGCACTCAAACAAGATCAAGCACGAACATTCAAGCATCAACTCAAGAACGGGCCTCGGGGTCGATCTTTGTTTTACATGCATTCCGATCATGCCACCTACTTAATCAACTAGTCATTGATTGATTAATGGTTAACGATAACGAACCACCATTTGTATTCACAAAACAATGGCTCATATCAGTTAACCCCTAAAATAAGGTCTAAATGTTCACTGTGGGCTACCCAACGATCATACATTGGGCCTAGATATACATTTAACAATCACATGCGTAACAATGAATAAAGCATGCATTTAAGCTCATAGGCCTTGTTGATTAATCAATCAAGCAATGGAAAGTGGGCTTCATAAGAGGACTGCTTATTAAGTTATTATTATCAAATTCGGACCCCTTTTGTTCAAATGTGATTAATCAGATTAATAATGTCTAAATTATGCAAATAAGGTGTCTTTAGAAAGTTTAGATCGTGAGGATTAAAAGTCAAGAAGACCATTTTGCCCAATTCTCGCCCAATTTTTTCAAAAACAAAGTTTAGTCCGAAATGACAGACTGGACCCGATTCTGTTAGGGATTTCAAAATAAAGTTGGGAAAAATAACAAACGTTATCCAAACCATGTGAAAATTTCTAGGCAGTTAGAATTTTCTATGTGTAACAACTTTTGTATTTTGATCTTTTGGTAAAAAGTCCTCTAGTTTTGTTTTTTTTTATTTATAAAAATTGGTTTTCACCGATGACTCATTTGCAAAATGGTTTTGAGGCCGAGAGGACTATATCCGGAATTTTTAGCAAATTGACCCTCCAAACGTTGCTATTAGGTCCCCAAAATTTTCAATTCACATAATGAGGCCATAATGAACAACTTTTAAGTTTTAAGTTTTTCCTAAAAAGGTCCCTAACTTTATGAAAATTGCAAAACCAATTCGGTCACTGAAACTGGAAATTTTTGGATCAAAACACAGAATCTGGACGTCTTCATCAAGGACCAATTGGACCATCCAAATCAACATGGAATTGCATGAAATTTTGAAGTTTTGTAGATCAAAGTGTGTTATATAACTTTCATGAAGAAAGTTTTTCCAAATAATGATCAAAAAAATTTATAAAAATTATGAAACATGCAAAGTTCAATTTGAAACCGATTATCGCAGATTAGATGACGTGGCTTCTAGCATTAATCGTGTATACTAAACCAATATGGAATTTTCTGAAATTTTTATACTTGATAGATCTAGATGTGTTCTACGACTTTCATGAAGGAAGTTTCTTCAAACAATAATCATAGAAAATTAGAAAAATTATAGAACAGAACAATGTCAATCAGGAAATCACAAGAAGAGAATGTAAAGTCATTATTCTAGATTCTGATCCTAATTTACGAAGTGATTTTCGCCCAGCAAACGAAGCCCGATCTAAGTATACGACCTATCAAGTTGAAGCTCATGAAGTATAGATCAAAT